TTAAGTGAATGTTAAAATGAATCGTCAGCGGACAAAAAACTTTAATGTTTGGAATGGCACTTTTGTTATCAAGTGCCTATGCAGCATGTGTATTATTAAGAAATTAAAAAAAAATAAAAGAAAACCACGGAGATACGCTGTTCGGCCACTGAATCGAAAAAGACACGAAACTGGTCATTTCTTTTCTTTAATGAAAGATATGCTGAATATTGAATACGATCAGGAACAATTTTTTAAATATACACGGATCGAAAACCATTATTTCGCGCGGTTTTGTGCTGCGTCGGACGTCAGACTTACCTCATTGGCCCGGCCTTAGGACATTAGGGACTAAAGTTAAAAGATGGGATCTTTCCAAGATTAAGATTAAGACTAAGATTAAGACTAGGGAAGTATAAACGCCCTTATGGCATTCTACGTTATCAACTCTTAAGATTAAGATTAAGACTGAAGCATAAACCGGCCATTAGTTACACATCTCAGACCGATTCCCGAGACGACGCATCCTGTTCCCCCACTACCGCCCCGCCGCTGGCGACCGAGCCGCCGATAGCTCTGGCTCAGGAGCGTTTTATGTAAGAAATAGGCTGGGTTGTTGAGGCACCTCTCAGAAAATCGTAACATTTTCTTCACTATATAAATAATATTTATTTTCATTAATAATTAAATATATATATTATGTGTTGTAGAAAAGTGATTATAATCTTTCCATATCTATCATATCTACGTCCATATTGCACAAATTAGGTCTGTTCTTTATAGCTGAACTATTGCAGCCAGTTCAGCTATGAAAAACAGACCTATTATTGCACGAATAATATTATAACTTACCTGTTTATTGCAATGCACGTCCTAATTAATCCTAACGTTAGCTATCCTAACGCTAACCTATACTAGTTACTGATGTCAGGCTGCAGACGAGGCTCATACTTATGTCTACCCGCCAAAACTTTGGCGCTCTTTATGTTGCGCATGTGTGTATACATCTCTATGATTGCGTTCCGTTTCGCACATTATGCGCACGAATTACATAGAAAACGTTCCGTTTCACTCAATGCGCGCATGAACAGCGCTTAGAATTCCCTAGATCCCCACCACCTGCAGCGCATAATACACGCATCAGCTACCTCAAGTTTGAGTTGCAGCAGCTTATGCGTTCCATGCGATTGCGTAATTGCATATGGCGATTGATAGTGATATTGTAAAAAGTGTCAAAATAGGAAGAGTCATAATGGAAGAGTCATTGATGATTCACTACTATTACTGTCACTCATTTCATTAATTAAAAACATTGTCACATTGATAGCGCAATTTATTGTGGAATCCATTTTGGGCCAGTATTCATAGTCCGTTTTTATATTCAAGATCGTCTTAAGCACGAACTTATATTCGCTCTCTTCGTCAGACACAATCTATGTTTGACGAAGAGAGCGAATATAAGTCCGTGCTTAAGACGATTTTGAATATAAGAAGGGACTATGAATACCGCCCTTGATTTTCCGCTTCTAATGTGTTCAATATCGTTCCGTTTCAAAGCATGTATCATGCGCATAATGAAACGAAACGCAGCCAATGCGCTAAGCATTAGCGATGCGAACGATGCGTGCTATGCGCAAAAAGGAACGCAACCTGTATTTTCTGTTCCTGCCATCGCCACGTATGCGTGAAAAACCCGGCCATATCTGATTGCACTGGGCATTGTCTTGGGAATCGGCCTGAGATGTGCAACTAATTCCGAGCTCTGTTTTAAAGTGATTCTTTTAGCGTGTTGCTATCGATATATAAGTCTACGGTATATAGTCACTTATTGATGTGTCAGTTCTTGGCTATCCTCGGCTATCACAGTAAGTAAAGAAGGTGGTAATTATTCAGAATCGCTACCTCACTTCCTATTTTGATAAATTTATGCTCATTCGATGCATTTTTGCGTGAAACGAAAGAATTTGGTGGAAAAAAAGAATAATTATTCAAAATCGCTACCTCACCTCCAATTTTGATAAATTTATGCTTATTTGACGCGTTTTTGTCCAAAATGAAGGAATTTCACTGAAAAAAGTGTCGCTCTGCCCCGCGAAGCGAGATATTAATCGTTAAAGTTGACCACTTTTCAGGTTACGAAACCTGTCATACCGACGAAATATAGCGACATAGGTATGTGCTGCAGTCATGCGCGCATGCATTGTCATAATATTCAACTTTCACGCGTAGGCGAGGCTCCTAATCTAACCTAACCTAACCTAACTCTAATCTACCTATCTTTGGATTAACAGAGCATGCGCGCGTGACCGGTACCGGATTTCTCTTTCTATCTCATCTACTCTCGATAATAGTAGCTGTGAACACGTGACCGAGACTGTTGGTTAGATAGAGAGATCCGGGTCCGAACAGCTATTTCCATCTGACCGGTCGAGAACAAAGGCGTGCTTGTTCCAGTATATATTTCAATGCGTGAAATGCGTAGTCTTCTTCTTGTTTGTTGTAAGCTAGTGCGCACTTCAGTTTCCGCAAAAAGAAAGTTTGGAAGTTTTGAGCACGTTTTCGTTGTGAGATCTCACGTTATCTTTTAATCTTTTGTTCGGAATCGGTTCTACAGAGAATCAGATTTTCAAAAGTGCTGAGGTTGCATAACGCAACATTTATTCAAGGAAAAGGATATCAATTTCCTCTGCAATTATTCGTGAAGGCCTTAGTTCGAGTGCGTAATACTTACGACACTCACTACGACCAAAAGGGTCATACATCTCACCAGGTGAGAGTTCGCCTGCGAATCATTCTTTGACTACGTCTGTAGAATTGATTCGACTGGCAGCCAAGAAGCATTTCTTGCATTTCATTTTCCTTCTTTTTTTTTGCTCAGAGATTACATCTCTACCTAGAAAGCCTCAAACAAAATATTCATTGCTTTATTCTTTTAATTTCTTGACATTTCCTGTAAGGCTTTATTGTATTTTTAATTTCTGTTCTAGCTTACAGAGAAATATACATAAGAACAAACATAATAACTAATAATTGTTTTATTTATAGAGTTTATCTGTTATGTCAGTGCTCGGAATTAGTCTGAACATTTCAGCCGATTTCCGTGGTATACGCCTCCTTTCCTCTCTTTACCGCGCGCGCCGCAGCCGCTAGGGCCAGCGCCGCCGAGCGTTAGGAGCGGCACTATCTGATTCATTGAGTAAAAAGATACAGGAGAGAGCATATACTAGCAGGACTAGGCAAATCCGCGGACGGATGTACGTCATGGCAGCCATCTTGAGCGACCACTTTTTGAAAGTGAGAGGGAATGCTCGAGCATAGCGGCAAGCGGCATACCGTACGCCGTACGCATTAATATGCAGTGTATAGTCTTTTATGCAACAGT